CAGGAGAAATGGGAAAATGACCTATAGTTCTCACTTTCTATTCTAGCAGGGACACAGTTCATACTCTAAGGGTCTTGGGATTGAAGAAATGAAGAAACATTGGGTATTTCTTGCAGTAGATGCTGAAAACATGGCAAACCTCAAAGTATGAAGTAAACTCAAGAAATCACTTGCTCATAATTGCATGGATTAATAAGAGTTAGTAGGCCTTGACGTGCCTTGCCTAAGGGAAGGTTTGACAGTAAACCTTAAGGCTTCTTAAACTTCTAAATCAAAGAACCAGATCTAAGTGGCTAAAAATTAACTTGGCCCAAGCTAAGTCTGGCAGCAGAAAAATCAATCACCTTTTGTGAAGTCAGTAATTTATGACTGCATAGCATGGTTTTAAAAATCCTGTAACATGTTTTAAAGTATTTTGGTTATTTTTGTCGGAATTTTTATCACCACTTACCTTACTTTTTCTCATTCTAAGTTTTATCCTCTTAAGCTTTTCAATTTCTTTTCTGGACTGCTTATAACAATATCCCACAATACAGGGTTGAAGTGAAACACGTTAAGTATCTAAGAATTTGTGGATTTCTTAGGTAAATTATGGTAAGCTATAAAACTATAATCTCATATTTGATTTAAAAAAAGGATGTATTTCTATGTGCATAGAAAAGAGTTCAAAAGGATATACACCAAAGATATAAACCAACAATGGTTAGTAGGTACGGTTATGGATGTTTTCTGTTCCCTTGCTCATGTATATATTCTAAGTTTTTACAGTTTTCTGTGGAACAAAGATCAATAAAGAAAACTTGAAAGAAACATAAAATTATTCTGTTGTTGGATATTTAGGTTAACTTCTGCGATTACTAACAGTATAAGTAATAACTGGCTAAAAATGAATTTAAGATTTAGAAGTGACATATGGTTTCAAGATGGACTATTCTTTCTTTTAAAAATCACACTAATACAAGAACAGGAAACAGAAACACAAGAGTCCTTCTGAAATAAATGAAGTGTGTTAGTCCCCCCAAACACAATTCTAAAAGAAAGTGGATAGAAGAATGATAAATGACTTAGCAGAAGGGAGTTAGGTCTCATCTGTAGAGACAGACGCTGATCAGAAACCAGCCAATTTGCCCTGCTAAGTACCTGACAGGCTTAGGAAATGAGCCACCAGGTATTTCAGAAGAGAAGGTTAAGGATCTAGGGACTAAAAACAGAAAGTCTTGAAGTAGATCTTCAAGTTGTTTCCCTCAATCTATAGGAGGCAGGAGGTATACAGTCCTTAGAGAATTAAATAGGGAAGTTTTAGATTTGAGGTTAGGTACAAAGAAGGACAAGTATGAGGCATGGGACTGAAAATAAGAGGAAGTAAGTAAAAGTTTGCTTATTGAAGAGTGAGACATTGACCTTACGCTTTAGATGTATTCTGGAGGATCTTCCTCAGGAGAAAACTACCCAAAATAAAGGATCTATAAACACTGACTTTCAGGGGTCCCTAATAAAAAAGCTGATTAATTGCCTAAATGCCCTACAGTGAAACTTACTGGTGGGTAAGTGGCACCCATATACTCAGAGCTTTTGAACCTTACTCTTGAACGTGTATAGACAGCCAAGGATCCCTAGACATTTCCCACATGAAAGTAAGACTGAGACAAACAAAAAAAAATTAACTCAGAGGAAACAGAGACATTGTAGGAAGTAGAGGGAAACTAAAATTAATATACTTGAGCAATAAAAGAAAAAATGCATCAACAAGATAACAAAAGGATGCTATGAAACAGGGACAATTTCAACAATAAGAGCTTTTGAAAATTAAGAAAAAGAATAAATTTTTAAAATTCAGTGGATGTGTTAGAAGAATGAAAACACAAAGTCATATATAATGTAAGAGGAAAAAAAAGAAAATTCAGCAATAAATCTAGTGGTCTAACAACTAATAGAAATCCCAGGAAGAACAAAAAATGGTTAGTAAGGATATTATTGAAAAAAATTTTTCAGAACTGAAGAGCATGAGTCTCCAAACTGAAAGCAACAAAGACAATGAATGACAAAAGCCTTAAGTGTCCCACGTGGAAATGGTTTCCAAGCAAGTGTTCATGATCCGTGAAGTGTGAGGTTAGAATAAAGCTATTTTCAGATATATAATATCTTAAACATTTATGCCAACCCATCCTTTCTGAGAAGCCACTTAGAGATGAGTGTCACTGAAATGACAGAGTAAAACAAAGGGAAATGAATGGGATCCAAGAAGCAGGAGGCTCCAACATGGAGTACGAGATTACGGGAATTCCCCAACTTAGTGACCTGGACATCTCTGTGGTGGCAGCCCTAGAGAGTAACTCATTCAGACTGGAGCATGATAATGGAGAGAGCTCTGCCAGAGGTGTCATGGCAAAGCATTAACCCTGCAGAAAACTGGGTTGATTTCATTTTACAGAGCTTTGGAAGATGTACGGAGACTTAAAAGTCAAAGAAAATTAAGCAAATGAAAAAACCATGAAGTAATTATTGACTTTAGGAAAAGAAATCATAGTACAGGTTTTCTGTTATTTGAAAGTGAGACTTTGTATGAAACGTTTTCTAAGCCGAAATAGCATAAAGCAAAGATGGAATTATCATTAATTAGTATGGAAAAAAATTTTGAGCATTCCCAGACCCAAAAAACAACCTCTCTTAGGCTTTTCTGATACTTTAGGATATATTATGCTAACAGACACATAAAATAAATCAAGATAAAGCACAGATGCTAAAAGACACAGTTCAAAGATAAGGTGGCTTGATGCTGAGAGTGGTTCTTGGGGAGGGAGCTTGGTGGGGCTACTCTCAGTTTGGGGTACACCCTGCCTCTTTAAGGGCTTACTGAAAAACAAATGCTGAACACTACTGATTTTGGACTTTTTTTGTAAAAATGAAAATCCTGTTGGGATTTCTTCTGGTTAGTGAAAACAGGTACTAATCATGTAAGTCTGAAAAGCGAACTGGCGTAATGCTAATTTTTGAAAAGCGGGGATACCTTTATACTACTTGGCTCAGCAGTGAACACTGTTTACCTGCTTCTTAAATAAAAACAGTGAAGATTAATTTTGCCAAAATATAAATATATTAGGAATAGGAAAAGAGGATATTGAAAGAGAGCCAAATTCTCATCTATGTTAAGAAGTCAGTATGTAATCTAATAACTAATTGATCAGTGGAACACATTATTATTTAGAAACATTGAAGTAATTACTAGAAAAAAAGTTAAACGAGTTTAAAGTAATGTATGTGCGCAATTTAATTGGTAGCTTAAAACCTATACATGCATATGTTACTCTACAAGAAGATATATCAAAGAAATAATCAATCTTTCCATGTTTTCTTCCGTCTGCTACTTGTTTAGCTTTTCTTCTTCCTTCCTAATTACAACCCTTTAGTAGAATTCATGCCTCATATCGAAAATTACCGAGTATCATAATTCTTTCAAGTGGTAAAGATACCTCAAGACAAATGCTGGGCATAGAAGCCACAGGACATAAAACTGCAAAGAAGTAAAAAGCTAACCTTTTCAAAGAATATTGCTTCTCTCTCACTTACCAACTTTATATTTCCCTGTATGGCCCCAGAAGATGACTGGTTAGCCAGAGACAGGTAAGATTCCTCAAGGGAGGAACAACCTAAGATAGGCACAGTCGCAGGGGGGCCATCAGGTGAGAAATTGGGGACCAACAGAGAGGAGGCTTAGAACCTCACCCCCACTGTTTTGAGAGAAATCTTCTGCATCCGTGGATATCTTGTTGCCCTTGTCTAACTTGGATTAATACTTAGTCTATAGGCAGAGACCTGATCATGTACATTTGCCCTCTTAGAGCACTAAATTATGTTTTCTACCTTTATCTTGCATCTACCTACCACTTCAGCATTTTATTTAAAAATAATAATAATAATAATAATAATAAGGGAGAAATGTGGGATTCATATATAAATCATGTATAAAAATCAAACGGATAATCATATCTGACTTGATTGTTTATAGTTCATGATGTGTGATCAAAACTGAAAGTTTCTGTGATGACTGCCCTTGCACTATTCACCATGTAAGAACTTATTCACTATGTAAGACCTTGTTCACCACGTAAGAACTTGTTTGTTATGCTTCAGAAGATTGGAGACTGTTGAGATATAGGCTTGGGGTTGATTAATGACTGTGCATTGAGTCCTCTATACAGAATTTTATTGTTGTTAACAACCATTTGATCAATAAATATGAGAGATGCCCTCGCAAAAATAAAATAAAATAAATAAATAAATAAAATAAAAATAAATAAATAAAATGAACAACAAAAAAATAAAATAAAATAAAAGAGTTTAAAGTGGTTGCCTGTCAATAATGGGAATTTATGGTCAAGAAAGGAGGCAGGGGTAGAAAGAAGAGCTCCAGGGAGCTGTTGTTTTTTGTTAGAGGACTTTACCATTGAATTTTTTAAATCACATCTGTTTAACGTAAAAATTAATTTTAAAAAGAAAAGAAAATTTTAAAGTTTGAAAAAAGTTTAAAAATCCGAAAAGTGATAGAAATGTTGAAAACCACATTAAGGACTGTAAACTACCTCATAGTATACCAAAATTACCAATATTCAAAATAATAGCCTGAATACAGCAGAGCCTAATGGTGATCTTTTCTCTCCCTGTAGGCTGACTGCAAACTCCATTGTAGTGGCATGTCTAATACTACTTTCCGGTTTGTTTTTAGACTGGGGCACCTCTGGTTGCTCACTACTGTCCAGCCTACCTGGGCAGCTTCTCTGAACAGGTTCACTTACTGTCTGCGTCCTTTGAGAGAGGTACCTCTTCCAAACAGAGGAAAATGTGAACACATTGGGGACCTATGACCTATGACCCCAGTGGCAACATTAAAGGGTATGTGCAAGAAACCAGACACTAACATTGGACTATCTCCTTTAAATGCTGAATAGTTTTGTAAGACGTGAAAAAGGGGGTAAAGTACAAAAGCAAAGGGACTTGCTTACCTGTGGGGACATGAACAAGTCTGACAGCACTATCGGTTGTATTAACGTGCTGACCCCCTGCTCCTTTGGCTCGAAATGTATCTATTCGCAGATCCTTGGGGTCCACTTTCACATCTACCTAGAATGAAAGGTATAACCCATATGTAAATTCCACACTCAATGAATATTTTAATACTTAATTTATTCCAAGATTTTTCAAATATACTGTAGTGTTTTATGTTGTAAGACAGAACTACTAGACTAACAGGTAAAATATCAGAGAAAGAACCATAAACTCTATTTCAATGGAAGCTATTTTTTAACACTGATTTATGAGGTTATGAGGTCACTGATTCATGCAGTCTTTCAAGTTTCATCATTCATCATCCCACAAAGCCAGATTAGGTAGAAAATAAACAAAATATATATATGTATGTTCATACATGTATGTATATATATATGAAGTTGATCCTCATTACTTCCTGATTCTGTATTTGCAAATTTACCAACTCGCTAAAATTTATTTGTTCTCTCAAATCAATTACTGCAGCACTTTCAGTCATGTAGACATGCACAGAGCACCAAAAAGTTCAAGTTGCTCTCCACATGCATGTGCCTAGCTGAGGTCCAACAAGGTGACACTGTTTTCTTGTTTCAGTGTGACCAGAGGATGAAGACAGGAGGGGGCAGTATAGTGTGAGAAGCTCCAGCTTTGGGGCCGGCTGGACTGGGTTTGAATCCTAACTCTGGCACGTGTCAATGAGGCAGCCTCGGGCAAGTCACTAACACTTCTGAACCTCATTTCCTCTTTTGTAATATAAAGGGTTGTTTTTAGGAATTAAGATTATAATCTATGTTAGATTATATTTCCCCTAGGAAAAATGGTTCAGTATTCGCTAACTAAGTGTTCTCAGTGACTTTTCAGAACTTAACTACTGTGAATAGTGAGAACTGACTGTGTGTGTGTACGTGCTCACTTGTGGACTGAAAGGGAACACCCAAAAAGATATGTGCATGTTCTAAGTACCAGAACCTTATTTGGAAAAAGGGTTGTTGTAGATGTAATTGATTTAATAAGACGAGATCATCCTGGGCTATTCAGACAGGCCCTAAATCCAATGACTGTCCTTATAAGAGACACTTAGCGGAGAGTAGAGGAGAAGAACGTGAATTCAGAGGCAGAGATTGGAGCTGTACAGCTTCAAACCAAGGAATACCTAGAGATGCTCTTCTGGAAGAGGCAAAGGAAGATTCTCCCCTGGAAACTTTGGAGGGAGCATGGCCCTGCCAATACCTTGACTTTAGATCGCTGGTCTCTAGAACCTGAGAGAATACATTTTTATTGTTTTATGCCACCAAGTTTTTGGTAAATTTGTTATGGCAGCTGTTTTTTGAGGGGAGATTTAACATTTTGTTCTGCATATATCATTTACCTGCTTGAATGAAGAACTGCAAGTATGATTTTCCTCTCTGAAAAGTAACTGGGTCAAGGTTAGAATCTAATATACAACTTGGTTGTTCTATTGTTTCCTCTAAAATGAGTATTATGCTGTAAAGAAAAAAGATTATATGGCTTTTTTTACAGTAGGCCAGTGTTGGTTGCTTTTAAATTTCAGTAAACACTAAAGGGATGAAGAGTAATTTCCCATTTCTTGTGGTTATAGTATATTAAGTAGATTGCAAATATGTGGATATTATGTGCAATAGTTGCAGAAACTACCTAATTCTGAACATAAAAATTGAATTAATAATACACAAAGAATTTTAAATGTCAAGTAAGAGAATAAGACCTTGTTCTTTTAGAAAATGAAGCTCCACTAAATGAGTTTAATTATCAAGGATATGAAGACAACAAGGGGTTAGGTAGGAATGGGGTGGCAGAAATGAGGAGTAAGATCCTCACATAGAGGTCCTAAAACCCCTGGAATTTCCTAAGTGATAGGAGTGATAAAGCTGTCTTTTGTTATTCACAACAATCCCTTTCCAACCACAGTTTATGTGAATGAGTGGGCTTGGGAAAGCCCCTAGATAACCAAGGGAGGGAGGGTGACTACCAGGGGAACCAACCATGTGCCTTTCAGCTCAGCCAAGGAGGGGGAGAGGGGCTGGAAGTTGAATTAATCTCCAGTGTCCAGTCATTTAGTCATGCCTATGTATGGAAGCCTCCATAAAAATCCCCAAAGTATAGAGTTCTAAGAATTTCCAGGTTGGTGACCATGTGGAAGTAATGGAAGGGTGGCGAGCCTGGAGAGGGTGTGGAAGTGGAAGCTCTGCACCTCTCCCACATACTTGTCCTATGTATCTCTTCATCTGGCTATTCCTGAGTTGTTTCCTTTGTAATAAATCAGTAATCTAGTACATAAATAGTTTTCCTGGGTTCTGTGAGTCCCTTCAGTAAATCATCAGACCTCAGGAGGAGGTTGTGGGAGCCTGCTGACTTACAGCCATTTGGTCAGAAGCACAGTGACTACCTGAACTTGTCATCAGCGTCTCATGTGGAAGGGGTGGCAGCCCTGAGGGCTGAGCCTTAGCCTGTGAGATCTGACTCTATCTCCAGGTAGATGGTATCGGAATTGAGTTGAATTGTAGGACACCCACTTGGTATCCATAGAGAACTGAAGTACTGCTTGGTGGGGAAAAAAACCCACACATTTGGAGTGCAGAATATTTTGTGAGTTGCCAGAACACAAGAGATTTTTGTGGACAACCATATTATAGAATTATGGTTGACTTTCATAGATAATGGTATTGAGTTTCTATAGGAGAATGAGCTATTCAAAGGATATGTAAGTCAAAGGTTTGGGGATAATGACTCATAGTGTTTGCTATATCCTTTACGGTTCATTAAAAAAATGTATATACATATATATATATATACTAATCTGCAAATGTGGCAAAATGTAAATAATTACTGACTCCAGATGAAGGTTATACAAATTTTCAGTATGGTATCCTTCAACTTTCTGTATGCTTAAATGAATTTTTTAAGAAGGGTTAGAAAAAAGAAAAATATAGAGATAAGGCTCTATTCAAATAACAAGATATAGACCCCATATAGACATTGTATCACTGACCTCAAGATACTATCTGTGGAATTCATTTTTTTCTTAAGATAAAACTTAAGCAACATATTTTAAAAACTTTGTGGATTCTGTTTTGTGAAGAAAAGAGAATTCTATTTAAAACAAAACAAAACATCTTGGTCATGGATCACAAGGACAACTTTACCTGAGAAAGACTTAAGATTTCCCAGCAGAGACTAAAGTTCAGTCTAGAACCCTGAAAGCCACAGGCTTTCCTAGGGGCTAAGGCTTTCTGGCACCATGTCCATTTACAGGGAATGAGTTTTCAATGCCACCTGGTGAGGATACCTCATCTGGTTGAGGGAGGACAATAACAGACATTGTTCCTGTGTGGATACGCTGCATCCTTGAAGACAGGCCCACCTCTGGGATTCGTTGAACTCGGTGAATCCCACCTTCATACTTCAAATGCCTATAGACACTGTCACCAGAAATTCGGGCAGCTGCATGATGAAGCCCACCTAGGAAAAAAAAATATGCAGAAATATTAATGAATTCCACTTTGAAAGCAATCAGGATCTTCTAAGGCCTGAATGTGAGTACAGAGCCTGAGGTGAGAACCTAAAGTAGGTACAAAACTACATTTCCCAATTTAAATCTATTAATATATAAAGGAAAACATACCAAAGTATTATTTATGGTTATCTCTGGGGAACATAAAACCAGTATATATTTTATTTTACTTTTCATACTTATTTGTTTCTAAATTTCCTATAATGAACAAATTTTACTTTTATGAAAATACTACTAAAAAAATACTGTGATGTTTTCTGCATTGAAACATCCTCTGCAATCTTAGGCTAATATAGTGCCATAGATAAAACTGCTTGATAACATGATAATTTGATAATGATGACTAATTCTATAGGTCCTCTATTGAAACAGCTTTTGCTTGTCTCTGGGCCAGGATGATAGGCACAAAAAAAAAATCATAATGCTGAGGATAGCTTCTTCCTTCTGGATATGTTTTAAAAATACCTTTTTATTATAAAATACATACAGAAAACCATGTGGATCAAAAGTATGGTTTAATGGCCACAAGATCAAGAAAAAGAACTTTGTCAGTCTCTCCCAAACTCCTTCTATATGCCCTTTCCTAGTTATAATTTCCTCCCATTCTCATGAGTAACCATTATCCTGACTTTTATTCCTTTACTATAATTTATTACATACATGTGCTGTGTAGGCATGATAGCTTAGTCTTTTCCATTTAAAAAAGTTCAGTATGTCTTTCAAATCTCTTAATCTATAAATTCATCATCCATCATTTTGTTTGCTACAAACTGTCTGTTGAAGACCCTGCACTGTTGTCCTGTAGGATTTCCCACAGTCTGGTTTTGCTGACTGCATACCCTTTGTGCAGTTGCATCTGTTCTTCTGCCCTCTGAACTGACTGCAATTGGCTGCTGGGTCCAGAGACTGGATCAGAAACCAGCTTGACCTCTTTGGCAAGACTACAAGAGGCCTACAAAGTCTGGCTGTCTCTTTTTTTATGGTCTCCTTTGATGCTAAATGTATTGGGGGTTGTAAAATGGTGATAGTCTAATTCTATCATTTCTTTCTCACTTACTAGTTAAAATAAATTTATAAAGAGACACTTCTCCTTGTCTACTATTTGATTACCCAATGACACAGTTATATAGGAAGGGAAGGATAATGTTCGTTGACTCTGACCCTTTTTCAGTTTTACCTATATATATATATATATATTTTGGCAATACAATGAATTTAGGTCCTTTTAATCCTCTGAAGATGGCCAATTATTTTTTAAAATCATTATAAATTCAAGAATTTGAACACTCTAGCATGTTTAAATCAATTGCAATTATTATTAGTGAAGCGCAACTTGTCCCATTTTTTGACCAATGGGAGCCTCTTCAAGTCACTTTCCAAATTCTCATAACATGTCTCTTGTTACGGTATAACAACATGTTCCAGGATTATTTTGAACATTTCTTGCCCCAGACCTGGAATCAGTCATTTTTCCAAGAAGCCCTAGTTCCTTTGAGAGAGAAATAATATTTCAATATTTTCATATTTGGGCACTATGAAATGACCAACTGGGTTGGTCATTGTTTCTAGACCTTTCCAGCGGGAAGAGATAGGAAATACCCCCCATGAATTCATACTGATGTTGGGAAACAATTCTCTATCAGTTTCTTACATTTCTGCACATCTTGTAAGTAAGGCAGTGCCTACCATTTTGTTCCAGAGCTATCTTTTTAAGGGTTTTGGTATAGTGAACAGCTTTGGAGATAACACCTCCTTCCAGACCAAAGAACAAGTTCACTTACAACTTTGGAAGACAGACACAGTATCTCCTTCTACAGCCAGCGGGCAAGCATGCTTTCTTCCCATTAAAAGACTCAAGATCCCTAAGCTCAGGGTTCCTCTCCTGTAAGGAATCATCTGGACTTCTTTGAGTTCTGTGGCATGTGGGGTTAACAGAACCAGCACAAAAATGGTGATATTCTGGTCACTGCAATTACCGTTAGTAATAAAGTGTCCTTCATTTGTGACCCATGAAACCGCAGCACACTAACCTGTTAGCTCATGAGCAAAATCTTAGACCATTCGCAGTCCTTGACAACTGATACTTACCGTGTAAACTCACAATCACAACCTCTTCTTTATTACTTTAGTATCTCTTGTCTTCCATATGGAGAATCTTGGTTCTCAAAGACAGACAGGATACTACAGTTAGAGTATCTTGTGGGGAAACATGGCGGAGTAGGAAGGCAAGGAGGAAACCTCCTTTCACATACACACACACACACACCAAGGAAGAAACTATAGCAAATGCAACTAACTCCGATAACTGCAGAACAGACCACCTACACCTGGTGAAGAAGAGAAGACTACACAAAGAAGGGTAAAGTGGCAGAGCCATGATCAATCAGGACCTCAGCCCTCCCCCATCCCAGGCCACAGGTGGGAGGTAAAGGAACAAAGAAGGGAGGGGATAGGCACTCAGGAACTCTGCACACCTGGTCCTGGAGATGCGCTCTGGGAACACAAGTCTGCATTGCATTGGGTTCTGGTGATTAGTGGGGCTGGACAACAGGGAGAGTTGGAGCACTCCGGGAGGCTGAGACTCCAGTGGCTTGTGCAGGACAGGCACACTCTGTTGGTCCTGCTGAGACCCAAAACAGAGGTGACACTTTGAAAGATCTGTCAGCGGCTGGAGGGGTGCCAGAGGGTTGAGGGTTGGATGGAGCTTTCTCCACATGGATGAAACTTCCCCAACCATCTACTGGCCCAACAGGTTGGGCACTCCCAGGAGCCCCAAACACTCCATTCCTGCTGCCAGGCACTTCCCTGTGTCCAGCTGGAGTGCCAGCCTACTCAGCACAGCAGTGTCAGACTTTGCTACCTGAGAGGCAGAAGGACGATTTGCTGCCTGGCAGGCAGAAGGAGGCTTTCCCAGCTTCCTGGGCCCTGTCTCAGTCCAACAAGGGGGGGCACCTGCAGAAGCCAGCTCTGAGCACTTCTTCCTCCTGTGGGCCACCCTGCCCAGTGCTGCATGACTGCTCCACCCACCTGTCAATGCAGCAGCCCTCACTATCACTGCAGGGCAGACAGAGGGCAGCACCACCCACAATGCTCCCAGCAGAAGCACTGCTGCTCTGCTCTGCAAACTGCCATCCGCTGTGGCTTGAAACAGACCACTCCTGGCCAACAGACAGAAAACCAGCCCTGCCCATAGCCCACCATCAGCAACTGGGGCCCCACCACAACAGACAATCAGGCACTGGAGAGTAGTCTTGGAGCTTCTGGGCATCACAGAATGCCTTCTTCATAAAGCCATTACTCTCTAGACCAGGAAGCATAGAGGATCCATCTAATACAAAGGAAGAAAACACAGAAACCCTGACAAAATAAGGAGGCAGAGAAGTATGTTCCAAACAAAACTGTAGGATAAGACACCAGAAAGAGGACTAAATGAAACAGAGATCACCAATCTTCTTAATAAAGATTTCAAAGTAACAACCATAAATATGCCCACTGATCTGTAGAAAAGCATTGAAAATCTCAGGGAGAACTTCAACAAAAAGATAAAAGAGCTGTAACTGAAATAAAATATACAATGGAGGGAATAAATAATAAATTGCTCCAAGTAGAGGAGACAACCAATGAGATGGAAATTAGAGAACAGGAATACAAGTAAGCTGGGAAACAGACAGAAAAAAAAATCTCTAGAAGTGACAGAATGCTAAGAGAGCTGTGTGACTTCAAATGAGGCAGTATTTGCATAATAGGGGTACCAGAAGGAGAAAAGAGAGACAAACATAAGGAAAGTCTCTTTAAGGAAATAATGATTGAAAACTTCCCCAATCTGGGTAAAAGACACCAAGGTCATGGAAGTTCAGAAAGCCCCTAACACAAGGAACCCCAGGAAGACACACAAAGACATATAATAATCAAAATGACAAAGATTAAGGATAATGAGAGGGTACTGAAAGCAGCCAAAGAGAGAATAAAAGACTACTTATAAGGGAAACCCCATCAGACTGTATCATGAGACTTTCAGCAGGAACTTCACAGGCCAGAAGAGAGTGGCATGAAATATTCAAAGTATTGAAACAGAAGGACTTTCTCTATCCAGTAAGATTATCATTCATATTTAAAGGAGAGATTAAACATCTCCCAGATAAATGAAGGCTGAAGGAATTTATAACCACTAAACTGGCATTACAGGATATGTAAAGGGACTTCTATAGATGGAAATTTTAAGTCTAAATAGTTTTCACTAGTGAAAATAAACCCACAGTAATGGTAGCAGATCAATCACTTACCAAGCAAGTACAAAATTAAAATAAAACAAAAGTAGTAAAAACAAGTATACACAAAATCAGTCAAGGGATATGCAAAAAATGCAGATTATGACATTTACTACATAAAGTGTGGAGGAAGAAGAAGAATAAAAATGAAGTACTTTTAGATTGTGTTTGAAATAGAGCAGTCAACAAAATAGTCTGTTACATGGTTAGGAAGCTATCCATGAACCTTATGGTAACCACAAATTTAAAGCCTATGATAGACGCACAAAAAATTTAAAAAGAGAAATCCAATCACAACACTAAAGAAAACCATGAAATAACAAGAGAAGGGTATCAGAAGAAGAAAGGAACAGAAAGGAGCTACTAAAAACAACCAGAAAACAATAAAATGGCAATACATACATACCTATCAATAGTTATCTTAACTGTAAATAGACTGAATGCATCAATCAAAAGAGACAGAGTGGCGGAATGGATAAAAAACAAGACTCATTTATATGCTGCCTACAAGAGACTCACTTCAGACCCAAAGATACACACAGACTGAAAGTGAAGGGATGGAAAAAGATGTATCAATGCAAGAAAAGGGAGAAAAAGCAGGGGTAGCAGTACTTATATCCAATAAAATGGACTTCAAAACAAAGAAAGTAACAAGAGACAAGAAGGACATTATGTAATGA